TTAAACAAGCACAATTTGACCGGACTGTATCTCCACACTAAATGCCTGAGATGAAATCGCCTTGCCAACACAGGTGACATTTTTGAATGTCAGGTAGACACGAAGCCTCGTAATGTCTCCGACATTGTTTGAATCAGAGAAGTGTGATTTTTGCCGCTTTTGTTGACTTTAGCACCCAATATGACTTTACGGCGTCCCAAAAATGCTTGACGCACTATTGTCTTAAGGAAACTTTTTTTCAAACAAAATGAGGCCTTTCTGGTTTTACTGCTAGCGTTGAAGATTTTATTAGTTATGCAACTACGAAACTGGATTTTAGTACGCAGAAACTCGTTCCTAATTTCTTGTTTTTTCGCAAAACTGGTGTTAGTTAAGTGATGGGTCCATAAAACATCCTTGATAACCCGAAGTAACAAGGAAACCGTCAGCAGATGTAATTCACTCCAGATTCCCAAGTGTTTTAAACTACCGATCATTTCTCAGACAGTCTTTTGTCGATACCTTCATTTCCTAGTCAGAGTATATTAATTTTAAAAAAATGATTATAGCAATGAAGTGATGCTTGTTAAATGTATAGAGCGTCTGACAACAACTTGGCGCTGGTCTTTTTTGAATTTATTATGATTTTTTTAATAAATTTAACTCTTTATTTGTCAGTAGAACAAGTATCCTTGGCTTTGGTTTTAGTGTCATATGTGTCATTAAATAGTCTCAAAGTATTTCCTACTTCTAAGGTTATCCTCATTAATGATGACAAACAGAAAAGCATTTTAAGTTTCATTTTTGAAGTAGTTCATTTGGTTGGAAGGTATGAAACCAATGTTCCTAAATACTTATTTAAACTACTTGATACTTTCTAAATAATGCTAAAATAACTTCTGGCCTTCCAGAGTCTTCCTGTTATTATTGAAAAAGTATAATCAATCTTATTACCTTGCTCGTGTTTATAAGGCAATCTGATGCTTTCCTTTTCAGCTGTGGTATCCTAAAGTCTTTGTGTCTGGCAGTGGTAGGGCAGACCAACATCAATCCCTTACTTTAATCATTGCAAAATTTGCTTTTGAATTTTTAAGGGAATTCTGTTTTGTCTACTTGCATGTGCATTCCTTCTAAATGAAATCTTCCGTCTAGGCATTCAGTATAATTAATAACCATTGGATTATTTCAAATTTGTCTGCACATTACGAAGTACAAAACCAAAGCATTAACGCAAACAAACGAATAAATTAAATGAAAGCAATTCAAATGTTTTTAAAGTATCAAACACCTGCTAGTATATTTTAAGATGACTGTAACCAATGCTTGGAAAAATGGCAACTTTGTGATAATTTATACCGACTTTAGTGATAGGAAATGCACTTTCGTCGTTAAGTACTTTGGCTTGACTGAACTTAAGGAATCGAAAAATGTTAAGTGATACGATGGATCAGATTTCTGACGGCAAAAACCATACACAAGGACCAAGATTTGAACTTTGCTCTGTCTTGCTGCTAGCATTTTTCCATAGTGGCGATTGTTAAATTAAATACGTTTTCCTGGGCCAAAAAAGGTAGTCTAAAAAACAAAATTTCACTGTCAGTCAATTTTTACATTTAATGTTTTACATCATAGTTCTTAGGCCTCCCATAACTACCCAGATTGTTTCGTAATTTAATCTTCAAATGAAAGCGTTCCATGGTCCGCCTTTGCAAGGGTCGAATATTTTGTACTGATGAATGGCTGTTTTTTCAGACCTATAGACGAAATGCAAAATTTAGTTTCTTGAAGATTAATGACCTATGCATTGCCCTCTGTTTAATATTTGTGACGTCTTTAGTCCTCATAGCCATGTCAATACACACCGGTCTCCTTCGACCAATATAACTCCAAACATTTTTAGTTGCATAACACAGGACGACGTGTGATACCCAGGTGCCCCTCACGTTGTTCAAATTACCTGCCAAACCCAACTATTAATTTCATTATTATTTGGAAGCAGTTGAGGCGTTACCAGTAGCCCACGGACTACAGCTTTCTCTGGCTAATTTTTTGTTAACTTAGTGATGACACTGTAAAATGCCCGCGTCTGCTTTAGTTTAGATTGTATGGCTCTGAAACCTTTGGATCCTCAACCTGCATGCAGATTTTCTATTATGATTATGAACGGAAATTTATGCTTGTTTTACCTACATCGCAGTTATGCATCGAAATTGGGAAACGCACCAAAATGGCAATCTAAAAATTCATAAGTATGTTACCAGATTGTTTATTTAGTGGCAACGAAGAGTGGATTCGGAAGTGTCCATAATTATCATTAGACACCGAAAAGATTGTACTTTTGATCACTTTTGGATTTAACCAAGTCGAACAAATCCTCGTTTCGAAGCCAACCTGCGCCGAAACTCCTGTGACGGCGAGGTCAGCTCGTCCAAAAGTAGCTGACTCTCTAGATCCTCCAGTGAGTCCGCATTTGTCAGGGCGTCAAGCAGTTGTCTCTGAAGGCGTCCGCAATTTGCAAATGGAACTTCAAGTAGCGCCAGATAGCAGAATAACGAAACGCAGACGATGAGTTTGGTAGAGGACATTGGAATTCTGGTAAAGGAATGGAAATGATTGTGAAGGTAACATGTTAATTAATTGTGCACATTTGGTGAAGTTGGAGACATTTACTCAAATCCACGTTACGCGTTTAGAGGCTCATTCTTAGAATAGGCGCATAACGCTAGGTACAGCCTAGAAAAAGATGTTCGGAAGTTTACATCACCAGCACTCTTTCTACTTTAATGAAAACCAATAACAATTATGGCATACATGGGCTCTCTCTAGTAGTCTACAAGGTCTATGCAACATAACCAAGTATGGGAGCGTTCATTACATTTTAGTGCGGTATAAAGTCGCATTAAGTTTGACAATAAAAGTTTATTCAAACAAAAATGTTACCTACGGGTAAAAGCCGGTTCATTTTTCTAAAATTAACTTTAAACAAACAGTAATTATTCAACAGAACAATCCCTGACCAGGAAGTTCTGCTGCACCTTTGCCTACATTGCAAGACTAACAGGTCTTAAATTATTTTTCTATTTGGTAGTACTGTTCCTGTAGATATTTAGAATTTACATATTGATACTTTCACTGACTGAGGTAAAGGCTCTTATTGGAAGCACAACTGTAATGTTTCAGTGATGGAAGACATACCATTTAAAAGTATGCGCTTTCCATCAGCCTTTATAAAAATAAAAAATAGCTTTTTCGACCGGTAGAAATGGCTCTAAAGGTTAAATAAAACTCACCTTAGATATTACTCGTGTACTCAGAACCAGCCCAATTTTAAAATACTGGTCCTTTTATACTTTAGCGTAGGGGGGAGGAGCTGGGAGATAAAACATTTAGTATGACCTTATGATTGGCTAAGACAATCACACGTCGGCATATGGTCAGTACTTAAAACAGTGCAGCTTTCCTGTTGTTCCCAAAACTCAAAGTCAAAAATAACGCAAAAGAAATTACCAGCAGAATATCAACAAAAAATGGGAAAATGCATAGTGGATTATATATAAGGAAGACTGTTTTAATTTGTAAGGGATTTAGATGCCATGAAGGAAAGAAGGCACAAAAATAACAGTCAGTCAGATACTTATCAAAGGTGCCCTCACATTTTTTGTTTTATGGAGCCAGACGTCCATGGTTAACACATTTAACGTTCATCTACTAAGTTAATGGTTACTTAACAAAAAACTTCGTCACTAATTTACGGGTAAACATTGACCCTATCAAATACCACACAGAACGAATTTCGGGAATGGCGTTTTCTTTCAATTTTTGAATCGCCTCGACCTCCATTTGGATTAGCCAATATAGGCAATCTACGTTATTAATTATTGATTAGGATCGGAGCCTAGGGGTCAACTGGGGGTCACCCCTTAAAGGCCCGGCCTTAGTCAAATGCCATTTACTGCAGCAAGACTAATAAGCATTTGTAGAGGTCCAATTCCAAAAAGCTACCAACATACTCTCCACAAATGTAACTGCGTGTGGGAGTTTGAGGTGTTCACGTGTCAGAGGCTAACCTGGGTGCAGTACGGCTGCCATTATATATGTAAGGATAGCAAATTAAGTACTGGAAGAATGTGTAAAGGTGCACAATACTGCAATATATTTTATCTAAGTTCCTAATTTATTCTTTTGATTAAATAAATGATTTCAGTGAAAATGCAGACTGTGGTTGTACAAAATCATCAACTACAGGGTTTTTTCCCCTGTGCAAACCAAGATTTGGAGCATTTGTTAGAAATGTTGATTTAGTAACAGTGCGCTTGAATGTACCTTCTCCTTTTAAAGCACGTAGGGTTTAAAATAATTTTCTAGACCTTGAAGACTTTATGCATTCTGTTACTTTTGGGATTGCATCATAGCTTATTTAAATTTACTTTCTGAATATACTTCACTCAAATTGAAGCATTGTACAAGAAGCTCAACATGTGGCTTATTTATCAGTTGAGTCAGACTCTGATTCTTATTTTTATCACGGTTAATGAAAACGAGAATTGAGCACAAATGCATGCTTTAATCACGCAATGACATCCGCACTTGCTCAAATCATTGACTTTTTGAAAACCAGTTCCTCTCAAAACCTGTGTGTGTACCTACACAATTCATGTACACTGCACATATTTTTATGAAAATATCTATAACTGTAATACCATTTTAGCACTATTCATGATGTTACCACAAGACAAAAGGACCTCATACAGGCGATGTCGCTATCCCCACATTTAAATAGAGCAGAATTTCGATAGACATGTCACCTACTGAATTATTGCCAAATCCAGCCCCACTGGTTGGTAGTTTTGCTTATTTTCCTGCCTTGTTGTTATTCCTGGTCTTTCTTCGTGGAAATTTGATGAAAACCTGTTATGGAGACTGCGGTAATAAGGCAGAGGGCGAGGTGACAGACAGAATGTTACATAGTGGGGAACAAATTGTTATGTTTTCCAAAACGTATTAATTTTGTCAATGGTTGAAATGGCAAAATGTATGTTCTCTTTACCCCAGAATGCATTGTGATCCCGAAAGCCAGCTCTATATATCCTGACGAGACTTGAATCACCGGTCTAATTATTAGACTTACAAAATTCAGATAGCAATCGCCATGTATGTTTTTTAAATTCACAGCGTTTTTCAGTCATTAAATCCTGAAACGAAAGTAAGTGCCCCAAACTAATATCCAGACACGTGCATATTTTACGCCCCTAAAGTTACGAGAATTGAACTATGGTGAGTAGATCTCGGGGAACCCAGGACATGCACGTGCATCTGGGGGGGCATGAAGGGTGAACTTTATAACGAACTCCTGGAAAGTGGTGACCAGACGGTGACTACGGAACATGAAAACCGACAATTGAACAAACTGAGCGAACAACTTGTTCAGAAAGGTCACTTGCTGGTCAAGGCAGAAGGCAAGTCATAGTGCTGTTGCATGACAACGCTCGGCGTCACGCTGCTCGCACGACTCAGAAGACCCTTCTGAACTTGGGATGGAAAGTTCTCCTACACGCGGCATGTTGACCAGACCTGACCCCATCCGACTACTATTTGTTCCGGTCAATAGAGCACGTTTTGGTGGATAAGCATTTCAAAATATTGGAAGATGTGAGTAAATTTGTCGTCGATGACTTAATTGCCTCGCAGACTTTGTGCGCTACCTGAGACATGGCGCAGGGTCATGGGAAAGGGTGGACAATATTTCCGAGATCAAGTTCGTTATTCTCTATTTCTTTACATCAAATAAGTTTGCGAAAGAATCCAAAAATTTAAGTCATTCACCTACAATATTCGAAAAAATGTCCAGCATTTTAAAAGCTAGTACGAAAATCAAACTAACAGGAAGCTGTCCAATTCTAATTTATAACAATCTGTTTATCAGTTTAAGGATTCTCAGTAAATGGTACAATTCGATTGACATTTCAAACCCACAATTCTGAATTAGCGTGCAAGAAGTGAAACTAAGCTAGAATGTCATCTGCTTAATTTATTCAGTTTAAGTTGTTTCCCTTAGTAATTTAGCCGGTCAACAAAATGCAATTTCACTTTCGTATATATTTAAAATGTCATGTCGTGACAATATTTTGAAGGTCAAATTCACTTGGTTATAGAAGTGCCGTATTCAATGGGTAATCTCTTCACTCACTTACGTAAAAGCACGAATTGAAAATATAATTGACTCATCTAGAGACCAAGTAGCTGGGAAAATTTAATCAATCCTTTGTGTAAAATGAACAGCTATTTCTGGACCACCCAAAGTCATGACTTCAATATGATGCCTGAGACCTGCGCTACCGAATCTGATAATGTTGTTGGAAAATCGGGTATTTTTATGACGCCAATTTCGAATTCAAATTGAAAACGAAGTTAAAATACTTTGCGACAAAACGATACTCTCTGGAATATCTATCATACTAAACTATCATGACATTTGGAAAATTTTCAAGTGTCCAACTGATGGGAGCAACTTTAGCAGGCATTTATAATCGAATTTTTGTAACGCGCGCCATTCGACCCACGCACGCCGGTCTGGCCTGTTCTTTGTCCTCCTTTCCCCTCCCGCACTTTCGCCCTCCTCAGGGCACGCCCGTGAGTCTGAGGGCAACGCCGACCCTCCTCGCGGCCATCCCTTTCCGCGCTCTAACCTTCCCCAACCTCTAGCCCTCTAATTTTGTATGCGGTAGTATGGAATACATCCATTTCTTCCAGTTATTCTTCTATCTTAACTAACCACGATTGCTTGGCTATCTAAGAGGGACGGGCTAACAGTTATCTCCCTATTTGGGTCCCCGTTTGCTAGGCACGTTACAACTCCTCGGCACAATTTTGAAAAATCGGTTAATGTTATATATCGTGATAATTCAATCCTGTGTTTGAAACCTCTTGGTCTTAATCAGCCATATAAACCGTTTTCGTAGGAAAGTTATCCCACTATGAGTCAATCCTACTCTTATTGGGCGCTCCTGCTGGTGCAGGCCGCAGTGCGTGAGGGCGTCTTCTCGACTGTGAGTGGTGTGTGCAGCGGGCGCACACGGTAGCACAAAAATAAAGGCACCAAACCGGTTGCCTTGTCGGCACTTTGACCCAGAAAAAGCTCTCTCACTCTCTCGGTGTGCATTAAAACCCGTGATTGAGAATGGTGGGCAAGGAGTTTATCAACCTCTTCAATAGCTTTCACGCTACCTACAACCTCTCCGTTGACGATTTTGCAGACCGCTTGAATTTATTTACCGTCCTCCTGTTTCTTCTTTGCACAATCCTCATTTCAGCAAAACAATATGTATTTAACTCAATCTCCTGTTACATCCCTGTCCAGCCATCAGGAAGCGAATTTAAAAACTACCTTGCTGACTACTGCTGGGTCCATGGCACAATCCCACTTCGATCGCATGAGCGAATGCCCACCACAGCTGACGAGTGGAATTTGTACGACCGACATCGCAGAATTAGTAAGTTGGACAAGGAATTTATTCCCCCCATTGTACAAATTCAGTAAATTTTGTCTTTCGGTAAAAGTGAAATAAGATCAACTTTAAATTCAGCATTTTTACTCCTCCTCAGTACTGACGTTGTCATTATAACAAGCATAATTTCGTCACTGAATAAGTATTGATAAGAGGACATGTTTTCTAAGATTTGAGACTGTAGTTTCTCACTTTTACGTTGTTAAAATATGGACCTTGTAATTAATAGAGGAACCATAGAAATAGATGAGAATCGGTTTAGGTCGCACTCTCAAATTTGAACTTCTCAGTCACCATTTGGCAACGATTCAGGCACCACCAACTTCCCCAAGGCATGTCTGAGCTTTCAAACAATTTGGCAAAGGCTTCATGATGGTAGTAGGTATTTATGAGTGCATTTATGCCTTGCTTCAAGCCTACTATCAGTGGGTGCCGTTTTTGTTGGGACTTCAATGCATCATTTTCTACCTGCCGCATCTGCTTTGGGAGGTTATTTGCAACTCTCGTGCGGGTGGTGACGTCTTCACGCTGATTCAGACTGCCAAAAAGGCGGGCTCTGGGAGCCGCAATGACCGTAAAAAGGAAGTCCAAAGAGTGGCCGAATTCCTCGAGGACATGATTGAGACCCATCGATGCCCACGTCGTGTAAGTACCTTCGTAAATCACCGATCAACTGAAGAATTATGCACACAGTGCTTCTTGGTGCGTTAATGTTATTAAGCCATATGAATGCCGAATTTTGGGGAATTTCGTTAATTAACCGCAAAATCTGTTTCTGTTATGCCATTCAGCTGTAGTCCGTTTAATTAGTGTGACAGTTTATTCGACGAAAATGTACAAGGCATCAGTGAAGCACTTGGACAGTGGCACGCAGGTTCTCTAGGATAGTGTTTCAGCTTTGCTACAGTAGCACGTTCATAATTTGGCACAGGAAGTTAGCAAGCTGGCAACACAAACGAACCACTGTCATTATTATTTTTAGCTTTTTTGATAAATGGGGACGGCCTTTTGGAGTTACGACTACCACATTAGTTGAATACCTCAAAATCTAAATAGAAACAGCGGTTTGTAGGATGGATAAATCCCCATTAGTTAACAATTGCCTGTCAGTCGTCAATTTACTTGATTGGTTTTTAACATTAGCTTCGATGTGATAAAGCGATAAATGAAAGAACTAAACTAACGACAAGCATGTTACTTTTTAAAATTGACTTAATTGTCAAACTAAATGTCCTATTAGGGACCGAAAACACCTCAAATTTGCGGTTAAGGCATTTTTCAGTCGGTATCAAGCACAGTATTTGAGAGCTTTTAAGAAACAATCGTACTTGGCTAGCGATGCAGTGCGCAGCAGTTTTAATTCAGATGGAGAAAACGTGATGCAATTTACTGTGACAGTACGTGAGAATTTTTCTTGTCATTTGATATTCCTGTTATCTCCATGAAATTATGGCACTTGTTGGGTTACCACTAGGTCGAAGTTAATTTCTTAATGATTTGTCATTTAACTTGCCGTTGAGACAAGTGAGTTGCTACGTCAGGTAAGCCTATTTTCTAAATTGCTTAACAAAATAATGGACACAAAGAGGGTGAGGTGAAAAGGTATATTTTCGCAAAAATGCCATCGCTTCCTTTGCTTATCGGTTGCGCAGATTAATAAACTTTTAGGATCCAGAGTTGGTTCAGGAGCGGCTGCCATCCTGTAAAAGCCCCAACTGGTTAAAATCTGCACCTGTCGTAGTAGTCATTTATGTCCTTGGGGTAACACGTTATGAAGGTTCTTCTCATTATAGTCTTGGTTGAATTATCCTAAGAAATGTTATAAAGGGTACAATAAAGGCCAGCAAAATTTAATACATTAAACCAATTCGACAACAAATACTCGTACTCATGGCTTTAATTTATTTCCCATTATATTCCTTCGATGCGTTGCAGTCTCTATTGCTTATTGCTTGGGGATCACCTAACGCAAAACGCACCAAGTCCGTTCGTACGACGCCCTGTCATTCTTACCGAACGTATTTGAAAGCTAAATAAACCGCTTTTTATGGCGTGTTTTGGTGAATATGAAAGTACAGTTAGGTCAAAACAATGGCGTCTCGATGGCCCAACCCAACCGCCAAGGTCATGCATGCTTGGTTTTACATCATTACAATTATTTCTGGCGTTAACACTGGATGTTTTGTGCCTGTAGGGACGTCGGGCAGCCCTCGTGAACAAGATTTACAGCAACTGTGGTCTTTGTGTGATAAGCAAACGCATGGGAACCTGTCTCGTGTGGTCCTACTTGGCCCTGAAAGTGATCATGATATTGAACGCGGCCCTGCAACTCCACCTCATTCAGATATTCCTTGGATTCACGGGGCACTACATCATACCTCAGTCAATGGATTCAGTAATGCAGGCGAAATCTCATGATTTAACAGGTATGTCAATTTTTTGGAGATTACGCTTTTGGACCCCATGTATACTGATGTTTATAAAAACAACGAAATTATTACTTTGAAAGCATTGAACAGCACTCCAAGTACTCGCATTGTCGATGCTATAGTAAGATTTAAAGTGCTAAAAACTTAAGTAATAACAACACAGGTAAAGCAGAAGACTAGAGACCCATGTGGTCTTACAACTCTGAATACTTTCTAAGACCAACTTTCTACAAAAATTGTCTTGGATTTGTCATGTATTTTAGACGAATGCACTTTAAAATCAACAGGCCTTCCAGTCAACAGGAGTACCAGTTCAAATAAAAACTGCAGCAGCCTGGGGCTTTGAAGTAGAGCCCCAAGATGGCTTAGGTCACTTGTTCTGAGCCATTGTTGAGTTTAGTAAACGGAAAAAATAGCTCACCTTAAATGCTACGGAAGCTAAAAAAATTAAAATATTTACATTTAAACAATTCTAGAACCACAAATGTCCGCTAAGAGTAACCATAAAAGATGAAAACACAATACACTTTGACGAAATGAAAGTAAATTTAACAGAATTGGCCCAGCGATCCATTTCTCTTCATGCCATGTGTGTTGGCGAGTAGGATAAAAAAATAAAGGACTCTATTGAGTCTTCCGACAAGACAACCAAGTTGTTTATTATTGGCCTTGATTCTTTAGTCCTAGTAGGTTAAGGCAGTGGTGCCCAGTGAAAAGATGCGCATTGAATGAAGTTGAAAATGTGACTCACAGGTGATTAGCGCTGCCATGTTTTCGAATTAGAAGGAGTAATTGCGAACAGCCTTAGGGCTAAATCAGGTAAAATAATTGGATATACGGAACCACAAATTGCACTGGCTGAGGTCACCATTTTACACAGGATGAAATAATTGTTAGGCTTAGAAGAGGTTATGATAACATAACTGAAAACTGGTGGTCAGGCTGACCTTTAGTACTTTCTCTGTAAGGTGATCAAGAAACCAGCATATACAGGCAGTGTCCCGGTACTGCTTGGTTTCAAAAGATATCACAATTTTCAGTATCTGACCTCGCCAAATTAAAGTACCCACGTAAATGCACCATTTAATTAGCCCTCCAAAGTGAGTCGCACTGTAACTTCGGCTCACGAATCGGATCTAACCAAGTGCAGCCCGATCCGCTGAAGCATAGACACATTGGGCTCGGAATCGTTGAATTAGCTGATGCACGCAATTCTTTCTTCATAAACGTTTTTCCTCACATTGTTTGGGGTGCACAAAGTTGACATTTCACCTTTTTAGCATATCCACAGTAAATTGTTATGAGAGTTGCATTGTTAACATTAACCAAATGCTTTCACTTTACGCGATCTCCATTTCAATTACACCCTTCCAGCAGGGTTATGCGGTTGCGGAGTGGCTACTGAAAACACGCTTAAGTGTGCATGTCTGGTCTTTCCCTGTGTCAAATGAAAGGCGCAGATAGGTGCTTTCTTTCTCGACTACAAACTGCTTGCAGACAAATAGAACGTAATCATCCGATAAGGAAGGTTCGTCTTGTTTTTCTTAGATTGCTGCTAACGATTTGGCCGACCACTAAACCAAGTGGCGTTTCATGTCACAAAAAGCGAATTGGCCCACTAGAGGCCCAGACCAGTTGAAGGAGTTTGCTGAAAAGAAGGTTGGAAACGAAGACCGATTGCGTCACTTCATAAATGCGCTAACTGAAAAGAAAATAGAATTTGGGGTGTCGACGATAAAACTGCATGGGATGCCAAATTGCAATATTTTAATGAGCACTGACGTAGAAAGTGGATGCTGCTTGCTCGACCACGGTGTGATTCAAAATATATGCATTGTGGGTTTGGACTGCCTGCGAATTGTCATCGTCTTGATAAAAATCTGCAAACGGTAAATAGAAAATGCTTCTGACAAGGCCCCCGTTAAAGCTTCAGATAATAGTCCAAATATAACGGTTTTTTTAGAAAGATTGCTTCTACTCAAACTGTCGAATATCCCACCTGGCTTACTTTCTATGCATTTGTTTATGTGAGGATTTATGCAGAATTCAAATGTCACCACTATCTTTGTTTGAGCATAAAATGCAGAAAAAAGCCATTTAAAATGTACTAGAGCATTAATTTGTGTTACATTACATCTTAAAACCATCTGTTAACTGAGTTGCTAGCAGCAACGTCCGAACTTGTGAGAAACGTAACTCGTCGAAGCCGGGGACTTGACGCTAAATCTGCCCCTACGAACCACGCGATTTGGACCAATTTTAGATTTACAGTGAAGAGGAAGGTCAGATACACAGTGCGTTTTCATGCCACTGACAAAATCGGTTTTAAAACAATTTGGACTGAAAAATAGAGTAAAGATGTGGTGCCAGATGTCAGCCCCAGCTGTAACTCCTTGAATGACCGAGCTTTGAATGCTTAGAAGCGCAGCGTCCAACACCACATGACTTGAAGGACACCTTGAGCTCACTTATCCATTATGCAAAGGAAGCCGTAATGTAGTGTGGTGGATTGTTTTACTTCACAGCGGATTACACAAAAATTAAGTCAAAATCTACAACGACGTATTGTCAACTTACCAAAAAAAGGGTCTCAGAGAATCAAAAAGACGAGGATGTTTGGACTCGAGTATTTACAGCATAGAGAAAACGTTGTGCTATGTAACCGCTGTATTTTTAAGTAAAAAGATCCTCCGAAAATAAGGATTAGAACGCTTCAAACTAATCCCAAAATACCGGCAATTTTGTCGCTTCAGTTTAACACTATTCGAAAAGAAAGGCAAAGGAAGTCAAGTAAAGGCAAATGAGACTTATGGCCTTTTTCCACTACTGGATGCGAGATGCACCTTCTAAAGACTCCTCTGAACTTCCTGCGACGATTTGGCATATCCAGTTGTGGTGGCGTTTGTTTCGCACGGAAATGTGTGCCGTGATCACTTGACGTCCGGTGACACCGAGCGCACAGAAAAAGCTTTTGCTGCACTTCTGCCGGCCGATCTGTCAATTAGCTTTCCCCGTCAAAAGACACTTGCACCCTACCATGACATGCTTGTCACCATAGCCGGAAAGTGACACTGCCGTTTTCAAGCTCTTGCTAGAGCCTTACTCCCAACGTTCTGACGTTTCTACCAAATTATACAACATTCATGTTGGATAGCTAGCGAGTCTTCCCAATCAGGACACCTGTTATACTAGATGAAATGAATTGGTCAAGTGTTTTGTTTGACATGTTTAGAAGTAGAACAGCGAAGCCCAGTCGTGTTGCTACTAACAAAGAAAAAGTAAAGATTATATCTTGCTTTTTTAGAAAAGAACGAGCAGGGCTATCTTTTCGGTTGGGCCGTTGTGAGCTACATTCGTTCGGGTCGGGAGTGGCCAGAAACCCTGCTCTTCCCACGTGTGGCTTACTGTCGTGTGCCAAGCATCCGTCTAGTTGGTGGTGAAAACGCATATACCGCACAATGTGCCCTCCCAATCAACATGCTTAACGAGAAGATCTACATTTTCCTTTGGTTCTGGATTCTCTTCCTCTTGTCAATGGGTATCCTAAGTTTCGTCCTATGGATCTTTCGCACTGCCAGCCCATTCCACAGACACCGCTACATCGCCAGATACTTACGCGTGTGCAAATTGGAGGATGAAATGAGGAGAAGGAGTGAACCGACAGGCGGGACAACGTCAGTGAAGAACTTTGTGGACGACTACCTCAGGCAGGATGGGGTCTTCTTGATCCGAATGGTGGCGATCAACGTGGGTCATGTGATGGCGACAGACGTCGTCGAGGCGATTTGGCAAAGTTACCGAGAGAAAGTTGAGGGATCAACTTCACCACTGACCACCTCCTCCTCCCTAGATAAGCCAAGCGCCCCTCAAGAAAAGATTCGCAAGATTGACGTGGGGTTCGTCTAAGCAAACGTCAGGTCTTGTTGAATCCCGTGTGTACCCATTCCACTTGCAGTGTTTTTGTGGTTGCATTGGTTCAGTTGAATTTTCCCCAAATGCATTAAATAAATGCATGCTGCGTGCAAACATGTCAACATGTATCACACCCAACCGTTGGTTCACTTACAGAAGGCGATTCATCGCTTCCGGTCGCCTTTATTCCATTGGAATGTTAACAACCAGACACGTTCTTGGATAGGATTTTATATTTATTGGGCGGTCAAGTCAGCGTGAATCGATGACAGACCAAAGTGGTGCTCGGAAAATGCCAATCATCCCTGCCAATAGCCATGCTACTTAGAGTTAAGCTTTACCCCGATTATCCATGTCCACCTGGAGTTCTGACACGCCATTCCCACAGAAGACCGTGGTGAAGTTCCACGCAAACCGCCACTAAAGCTTTCGGTTTGCTATCTTTATTCCCGTCCACAGTTTTTCAGCATGCGCAAGAAATAAAATTACATGTTTCTGCACGAATTCGGGAAAGGAATGGCTTTCGCATTAAATGTGTCCCAGCATTCATTATAAAAATCGTGGCCGAATACAGGTTACTTCATTTTTTTAAAAAAATGCGATAACTTCTACGAAAGTGTGTCAAAATGCCAAAATAAATGCAGAGAAACCTCAACCTTCTTCATCTGAGTCAGCGACCAACAACGTCGCATTTGACTTCCTCCCGCAGTCGGCATCGGCGACAGCAAGAGCACGGAGACTGTCGGCGTTGTCCCAGCCTGAGGTTGCAGCAGCTTTGGCGTCAATTAGCCGAGTTGACGATGGCCTGCAGTTGGACCTTGCGTCTGTGTCACATTGGGCAGCGCTGAATGACACGTCCATGTCCACGTTCTCAAAGAGATCTTCACACAAAGGAACAGCCGGCTGAGCTGGAGGTGGGTTGCGGAAGAAGGTGTCCTCGGCGTCCTCGCCGCCCGAACGCGAGAAAAGCACTGACCGAGCCTGGTTAAAGGGATTAGCAATAGCGCGTCTTTAAGACCGCAGTCCTAGGTGATTGTCAGTGACATCAATCAGCCTCAATCACTAATAGGGGAGCTTAGGGCAAGTAGACGGGTGGTGGACAACTGTAGAAAGCAAAATTGACCAAGACAAAGCAGCACCTGACGAAATTAGCGCTAAAATAATCATGAATACCTTCCCAAACGGCATCAATTGCCTTTGAATTAGCAGGAACAGATTAATGTAGCACCCGCAATTTGATTTTGTTCTGTAATGTTTTTACTTAAAAAAGAAAAAGTAATAAATAAGTATTATAAGCAGAAAACAATATGACAGCATTGTGTGCCTAACACACTCACTGCCCACTGTGACAGCCACAACACACTTGCAGGAAAACGGTCACGAGGGCTAAGAGGTGAGTGTTGAGCAAGGCGTCGTGGACGTGGCAAGCATACTGGCAAGACCCAAATTAAAATGCCTCTTAACCTAGGTGAATGGGGTCCAGGTTATTGGAAGCCCAGTTAATTAATCACACAGTGATGCCGCAAATCAACATCTAAGCTGGAGCCAATTAAAAGGTAAACTTGGAGGTCACGAAATGAATACGAGAATAAAAGATAGCTTTGAAAACTAAATTAACTCACTTTTTTTATGGCTGGTTCGGGAGGGTTTTCACAGTTTACTGAAAGCGGGGTAGTGGCCTGAAACGAATAAGTTGGTTGTTAGACAAGAAAGAGGTTGGAAATATTGAGAGCGAATGTCAATTAACAAAGGAACACTTGAAATAAGACGAGATTTGTTAGATGCAACCACACTTAACCCAATGGGATTGAGTTCTAGGACGTAAAACAAATAAAAAGCATACTTCGAAATGTGTTCTGGCGATGCCGGTTTCGGACGATTGGAGGACTTGAGTGGGAGCCATAAGCGCCGTGTCACTTGATTGCAGATTTGATTTTTTTACGCGTCTACCAAAAAAACAAGAACAGAATTTCGCAAGATAGCTAGGTGAAAGATTTTGTTTTAAAACATACTACGCCGGTAGAGACCTTACTTGAATGGATCAGAAGAAAATAAGCGACAAAACAACATAACTAACCCTGCTACACGTGAGACGGGGTTAAATTGTATTTGGCAACTGTGCTCAGAGGCTTCACGTCAAAACTTGAAAAATAACTGTTGTGCTCATCACAAAGCCGGATTAGGTCGACCATTAGCATGAGTAGAGGCGTGCAAAACGGCCTTGACACCGCCCACTTCAGTTCAGGGTTTATGTACAAGCAAGTACTGTTCGCGTTCTTCCGAGGGTATTTGCTGATAAAACGGCGTACAGAAAGCGACCTTTATTTTAAATCAAGTGGAAAAGTGGATGTATACCAAAGTAGGCAAAATGCTTACGATGAGCTGGGTGTCGCAGATACCGTGTTCATAGATTTAAAATGTGAAGACGTGTTGGAGATGGGATGCACTGGAGGCTGTTTTGGAGTGTGAGCTGACGGCAAGGAAGCAAGAACAAAATGGGCTTTAAATCGATTGTTGTCGGTGCATGTGAGAACCAAGGGCTTGCCAGGGCGACTACAGTGAACGGACACTATAGAGTTCATCGATTCGCCGAAAGCTACAGCTGCCTGTAAAGAAGACATACATACGGAACACCAGGTGTTTGCTTCAATTAAACATGAAGAAACTCAAAAAAAATATACCTACCCTGAAATCCTTCAAACAAAACGTTAGATCACATTCTTCACCCAAACGATAGATGTCAAATTCACTGGACGATATCGGAACGTGTGTAAGAATAGCTGAAAAGTCTATACCAAAATGAACACATAGTTTAACTACCGGAGTCGGCGACATAGTTCTGAAAGACACATTCGCCCTCCTGCAGAACCATAGTCACTTCAGTCTGGTTCGGTCGGAAATTACTCAAGATTTCACCCACTACCCTACGAAGTAATACCGGTGGATTTAGAAACGAGTACTTACTTTGAAGAAATTGTCATCTGGGAAGTCGCATCCTCCACATTATACACAGCCTCAAGACTCTCACACTCAATTATGGGGAGGTTGTACGTTTTGACGATTCCTTTTAATGTTTCGAAATTAGATTTTCACAAGAAAGCATACCATGCCTTTGAAAGAATTGCACAATAAGTCTATCGTTATTTTCATCAAGGCGCATTTTACACTTTTGGACAACTTTAACCCAAGCCGTAGTCTGCTTGAAAATTTTACAACAAGTCTAATAGGGGGGTTGTGAGTCAAATGTCATTAAGTGAAGAAACCTTGGCGCTTAGTTTGAAACGAAGGGCAACTTCGGTGAGTCCAGAGGCCTTCTCAAAGAAACACTCAGAAAAAAAGACGACGGCAAAAGCCGAACGTGATGAATTGACACATCTCAGACTGAACTAATTAAGAGGCATTATGTCTGCAGACAAGATAGTGGTACTTCGTGGGGACTACATTCAAAGTACAGTTCATCACCAAGTTTGCCCAAAGCCGATACCGCACGAGTAAAAACTAGTTAGGCGAATTGTAAATAGACAGGATCACTTACCTTTCAGTTCAGGTATGAGAAACGTTAGCTTCATGTTAGAAAAACATCAAGAGACCTGGTAGTGTTTCCCGAATATACATTCTCTTATGTATCCAAAAGGCTATGAAATTACTAAAAGCACAAAGAATCACCTCAGCTACAGTAATCAAGCCTTTGAATGCTAGCGAAGAAAACTACCTATGTGCTATTTTTAAATTATAAAGCAATTTGCGCTACGACACTTCATGTATACTAAGATCATCTAGCCCCCCATGACAAGCGACCGTAATTTCGATACGGCTTTCCAGAAAGAGAAAATGGCACAATCCATAGTGAGGCATTTGAAATTTCAAAATAACCGTAACCCGAAATACCAAGTTTAATTTAAGCAGTGGAAAGGCACTTTACATTGACATGGCCAAGGTAGTAAACGCATTTCAAAAACAATTTCTAACCTTAAAAAGTATCATGTAACGCAGAAAACCACGCAACAACTTATTGAGAGGCAACGTGTGCATCACGTAGATTTCTCAGTTGCTATGACTCCAGATTAAATTAGTTAAATCTAAGCAGTGCGACCCTAGAATATCCAGTCGGCTTATCACCAGACTCGGTAAACTTAGATGCAGTTACATTGCACCGACAATGTATGAAGCCATACGCCATATGACACTAAGTCAGCCTGCAGATAATACCAAGCTTATTTTTTTTAAAAATTATGTCGATAGGCGTGGAACAGTCTCTAAAGTCTCAAAAGTATTAGTTTTTAAAGGGACGGACGTCACAGCGTCCTCAACAAAAAAAACAACAAGGTTTTACGCACACCAAGTCAATTTGAAGACAAAGTTTTAAGTTACGCGGAAAATTATCTGAACAACTGAAGCTGCTCTTCTGAGATGATTCCAGGCTACTTATCGAACCAATAGTAATTTTAAGTATTGAATTTGTATTTACAATGCTACTTTTAGGCGCACAAACGCTAGTATGTATCGTTTCTCATAACAACGAGAAAAACACGGAATGCGTTTCTAATTGTAGGTATAAAGAAATTTTTTAATGTATCCAATGAAATGGAAGGGGCCTAAGTATTTCGAGTATCTAAGTATCTAAGTTTTAGATCGTTTACTGGCATAAAAAAAGTTGGACATTAATGAGAAAGAGGGCAAAATTTATGGAAAAGAAATTATAAGTATGACACTAAATATGAGTGAAATTACTGAATTTAGAAATGTTTGGATTTTAATCTCATAAAAAAATTTGAGTTCCTTATAAAAAGTTTTTTCCAGCACCTTACTTTTTATAACAGTGTCCGTAGACTGACATAAATCGCTAAAATTTCACGGGTTTAGTGATTGGGCATCATTTTATCACTGATCTACGTATAATTTTTTTATTATTAAAGATCCTCTAAAGTAATAACATAATTTTTGTTGACAGTTAAGATGTGAAAACATGGAAAAATATCTAAATTAAAAATGGAGGTTAAATAGCAGTTATAGACCTACAGTTTTATGTTTTTGTGATTAAAAAATTTTTAATGTGTGATTTTCAATAAATCATTATACCCTCTAGATTATTTCGTGAGAATGTTTGATAGGCAAAACATTCGTGGACTCATGATTAAATTGTAGCATTCAACATTTCATAAGTGACATTAAAATATTCAATTATCCTAATCAGGGTGAATAATTAATTTTACTCATATTTTGCTTTAATTTTCTTGACCTAAACACCTATGTTCAAGCATCTACCAAGTCTGTGAAAGTACTTTTAACCAGTCCTTTATTAACGTAAATCGCATTCCCATTTAGGTAAAATCCCCGTGGTCACCAGTAAGTTCTCTCCTTCGTTTTGAAATGTGAGAAATTTTGCATATAAGTAATTTTTGCTACAATGAGCTCTTCTACACTTCAAATCAAAAGCATAGGAATAGGTCGTGAAACTATGGCGCTGCATGCAGAACCAGTTACTTGAATGAATCGGCATTCACGAAATGGCATAGAGGTCCACATCACTTCTCTGATAGCTAGCTTCCGTATTTTTTACGGCGCACTAAATTCGCGAAATAACAAAACCTTACTACCATTGGTGTGAGTGAATCTTGATTGAATTTTAGGACAATCCACGAAGTCCACAATTTGAGCCATGTGCATGTGAAATTCAGGATTGTTTAGGCCTAGTTAATCACCATACCAACCAGTCCTCTCTAGCAACTTAAGGAGCCATTGAACTCTGCGTTGCTCAACTCACCCTTAGTTTGAATTTTCAACACCTCTAGCACTAGTGTTTTGCGCAAAATTCTAAATGATTTTGCGGTGGATAGTTCTATCGGTCCGTTGAAATATGGGACGTCATTAAGCAAAATAGTGTTGAAGGTCCCGGTATGTGGCTTTGAATCACACCGAGGCCGCTGCCTTGGATGGATCCGTTACTCCACACTGACATTTGGGAAGATCAAGAAGATCGAAGATGCCGGAGGCACAACTGTTTACTAGGCGGCCTAACCTAGATGTATTCGTTGGCGTAACGAATGGAGTTGCTGACCTATGTAGTCTGTGTGAACTGTGAAAGTACAAATAGCTGGATGGCCAGATGAATGAAATGGACAGCGGGGAGGTACATGCACACGGGTGTGTGAGCAGACAGTCAATCATGGCTGGCAGGCGCGCTGTGAAAAGGATGCAATATGTCAGGGAATGCAATGACCTAGTTACTGGGCACAAATAGGCCCGATACACAGCAATGGCAAACACGTAATTTGTTTATTGGAGAATTTGCTGAAATGAAGCATTTCCACTAGAGGATCCGCGATTTTGCATGTTACCTTAAAGACTACCACATCATAAATAATTTTACCGAAATTTGCGTTAATCATCTCAAAACCCATGAATTTGCACTTGGAAATCGGGACTTATCGTAAGGTAGTTAATTATTGCCAGTTTTCTGTAACGTGTCAGTTTAAACTGTGAGTAAAACATGATCTTTTCCTGGCTGCAAAGTGGGCAGGCTGAGTCTGGTCACCAAGGCAATAATAGGCTGTGGGTGTGCAAATTTGCTTTAGGTAAGTGATCTTGAGAAGCACCACTGATGACCAGCAACGTAACTTGGTGGGTGCGTTTAGCGTTTTAGCCACGCAATTGGTAGCTAGATTTACAAGAATGTCCTAATGCTCCTTTCATGACAAAAATTTTCAAGCAGACCATCTGACAGGAGTAGATTGTCACAGAAATAAATTCAAGATTGGCCCACCATTTAGCTACTAATAGCAATTCTTCCATGAATGACAAAGAGCCATAACTATACCCAAATATCTAGTTGACAACAGGCCACTTAGTTCCCTAAAATGCGTGCATTAACAGATTACATCTAAGAGTGCGATCTGTTAATTATTTCACTCTGCTAAAACGTATTGTAGCGATGAGGTAAGCATAAGAGATATTATATATACGATGGGTGGAGACGAATGCTAGACATGACTTTGAATCCCAAGAATTTCAAATGCTAGGGGCATTTTGACTCCAAATAACGCCAGAAGTATATGGATCATATTTCGCATTTTATCAGTTGCCAGCAAACCACTATGGTTACTATCATAGTAGCTTAATAGTCACGTGCCTTTATTTCTACCAAAAATCTAACTGTCTCAATGTGAAATGCCCACAGTGCGAATTACTAATGCATCAGACCTGATGTTTTTTAATAGCCTGAACTCACTGAAAACGCCTCTGCCGTCCCACTGCCATTATTTATCTATTCGTCTGCTGTACCGTCTGACCAACAGACCTGATGCGCATTACAAAAATAAGGCAAATTATTTTTCTTCCTCGGCTTTATAAAAACTTTCCAAAAAGAGGAACTGTAACCGTGGAAACGAAACCAAGGTCAGTATTTAATCAATGCCCTCAGATGTAGGCTTCTGCTATTCCCTATTCTGTCGTACAGAGCCGGAAACATTTGCAAATTACGTAAAAGCAGTCAGTAATCCTTGAATTTTATTTCACTGGCATAACTGGCCTCTTGTCTACAGTTGGCATTTTTATGGATGCCTGATAACTACACTAAAAAATTGAGTGTACAATATCACCCTTTAAACTCTCGTAATATCAAAAGGCAGCGAATTTATTTAGCACGCAAGTCAAGCTGCTCAGATAATGTGAATTTTAACAGCAGTTACACCACACTACATCTAAAAATCAGGAATAATTTTGTTCCTACATTTATACCCACCTAGATTGTTCCTTAAAATTTTCAGCACAGCAAACCACAAAAAGGATGCTCTGTCAATCAGTGCCAGTGCATGAGTTGTCCTTAAATGAGTGGTAAGTGTACCGCCCGTAGGTCCAGGAACCCGACTCAACGTCGACGTCACACGGATTGAATTTCTCCTGTTAACTGTTAATCAAAAGCGATCTTTGTATACAGTCAACAATGAAAAAGAAAATAGCATGGATTTTTCCTGTACAGGAATAAACAAGGGAGTCTTCGGCACCCCTGCTTTTTACCCATTCTCTAAGTTTGCGTGCAGCACTACATCGGCCAATGCAAAAATTGCTAACCATGGCACTGCCTGTGCCTAAGTCATTTTAAAACGTTGGAATTATGCCTTATGGAAAGACCTACCTAACCAAAATGTTACAATATCAATAAAGTTTTATGGGAACTTGAATCGCTGCTGCAATGCACAAGTCACTTCGAACATCAACACATCGCATTTTTATATTCTTCCCATCGGCCAACTGTTTTCCTCAACATCTCAATTATATCCAGGCATACTATACGATCAAAATTTGCATTAAATCTTAACTAGATGGGAAAAATAGCTATGCAATAACTATAACTAAACAATGCTATACAATATACAATATTAACTAGATAAAATACAATGACTATAACCATCCAATGCTATTTCGTTCCTAATTACCTACACAAGATGTCATGTCCTCACTGTTTATATTCTCCCAGCAAACAATAATTGAATTAATCAAATAATGTTCCACAGTGACTCCTGATTTTGAGCTTTTTCGTGTTGTGCTAGCTTATTTAATTGTCACCGAAATACGATATTTCCCACCATTAATTTCCCAAATCGACGCCTCACATGAACCCCAAAAAACGTAGCTTCAATTTTGCAGGATCAAAGTAAAACGAGTAGTGGCAGATTAGATGATTATACCCAAATTAATTTGTTCAAAATACGTAAGTAAAATGCCCTGCTTAAAATATGCGACATATACATTGGGTGATTTAAAAATTGACACGCTGAATAAAACGGCTTCTTTTGTGGTACTGTCGACTCTTCTGAGTGTTGGCTGTATTATTAACATTGGCGATAGAAATAATATCCAAGTGATCTGCCACAGTCATCCAAAGACGCAAATTTTGAATGTAGTCGGCGCGCCACTGTCCATTAGTCGATAACTGACGCTTATTAAGTAATACTGGGTTTGATCGATCGTCGTCCGCTCATTTAATGTGCTGCTAGTCTAGCGTGTCCACTTGGTTGGCCATTCGGATAGCTGACCACCCATCGAGTAGGCGGTGCGTCTTGGAGATTACTTAAATCCAGGTCAAGCCTTCAAAGTTATTTGTTAAACTCTCGCTATTAATTTTTTTCGGTTTTGTAACAAAACGTAGGTCCTAATGAAGCCAATATGGAGTTGGTCGAGTTGCCATTGGTGTTCTTGACGCATTCAAGCTCGATGTGCTTATTCAGACAACAAAACTGAAGTTTCTGATAACGACGGGCTGTACATACTTATCAATTTTGGTGTAAAAATTTACCTATCAGTAAATCCAGGTACAATTCATCAATCATATCCAAAAGAGCAGTCATACCGATAGCCACCTATTTTCAGCAAATTTTTAGCCCACTTCCTGTATTTTTTGTGAGTTCCTAAATTACAGCACGTGCTATTACTTGTTTGTGTCCACTTGACAAACTTTGCTACTAGCTATAAAATACTTCAATGCGGTTTTTGACATCTTTCTAAATAATGTGGTTCTTCCTTGACAAATCATCCGTATTTTGTTTGAGAGTTGTTCTGACGAGGGCAAACAATTCTGATTTTAAGTTTGGCCTGCGAAGAATTGCAGAACTACTTAATTGACATTCATGCATTCCAGATCTGATTATTGGATGAGTTTTATGGCAGAAATTTGGCCAGAAATTAGTTTTTATCATTTTACGCTTCATTTTAATGACTCCTAGCGGGAACATCTTTATTTCAACAAACGTATTTTGATAAGCCTCGGGTGTGCTGAAAAGTTACTATCCCAGTGGACCAGTCTGAAAGGATTTCTTAAGGCAGGCCGCGGCTTTTGCGGTGGTTGAAGGCAAAGTTTGATGCGTGGCCTGCACAACGATAAATAAACGCACCCGGTAAGCTAGTAAACACGCCTGCATTTTGGCTGATGATTATGTTCTCGTAAAAGGCATCGAAATTGTTAGACAAATGAATCATTTTTATAAATAAAACCAGCTTTGATTCTCGATAGCACTTTTGATACAATCATGTACCTTTAAAACAGCGGGTTTTTATAAAATGAGATTCGACACGCTCAAACACCGTCTAGCAGAAACCTCTAACTGGTATTTAGATTAAAATATCATAAGTTTTCAAATCTAGAAAGATATTTTAATTGATGGAGAAGGTGTATTCATGAGGTACTTATTCCACGTGCAGCGAACTGCTACTCTCAACCTCTAAAGGTAATAAAGTAGTGAGTTTTCAAATATGGTTTTTGAAAAACAACCCAGGAATCCACTCTTTTGATTCCATGTACTTCTTTAACTGAATATTTAGTAAAATAGTAACTAAGACGTCAACAATGACTCCTAAATTACCACCTAACTATGCGCCGGTGGTCGTAAAGGCTCCTTGATCAATTAAAACAACAGAAAACTACTTGAAGTTCTGCAAAGTTTACTTTAGGTACAGTACAGTATTAGAACGTCGTCAATGCTCGGGATTAAAAAGTGTTGCCTGTGATCTGGGCGAAGCAATTGCTACCGCCCATCAACCTGGGACGGGTTACGAAGTCGTTTCCAAACCACGTGAAGCCCATTAACCTGTAGCTAGATAAATTAGCTCTTGGAGCAGCAATTTATACAGAGAGTAGAAGCATCGTAAAATTTAGGACTTGGACAGTCTTTGCAATGCAATGAAGAAAGGCAACTGAAATTATTTGTGTTCTTGATAAAGTTGTCTTCAAAAGTTAAAAGTGTGAATACTCCAGATTGGTAACCTGTGTACACCATCATCCTCCAAAAAATAATAAGGACTTATCCTTAAGGTAATGGCAGACTGAATCATTAAACTTCCACTACAATGTCCACTGAACAATGAAAGCCCACATTGTCTATTGTTTAAGTTTTGTGCTGGGTTATGAATAAATGAAAGGTAAATGCTCACAAATATCTCCGGTGCAGCCGACATCACCTTATTCTTCGGCGTAAAGTTAAAAAAAGTAAAAGAATAGCCTTACGCGTCCGTAAAAACATGCCGTCTTCGCCATCTGCCTCTACCATGTTTAGCGATCAAAAGCATAACTCAAAGTAAAATCATTTTTTCCAATAAATCTGCTGAAATTTAGAGTCTGTGATTTTGTCATTGAGTAACCATGCTGTATCTGTAATTTAGGGTTCAAATAAGCCTAATCAAAGATTAGTACATGCAAGTAGTTAAAATTGCAATGGGTCCCTACTACTTAAAACTTGACATCGTTCTACACGGGTACGAAGCCTGCTTGAGAGCTTACACTGATGTGGTATAGTTGCCATTGTATTCTCTTGTGTTACCTTATGGAGAACTGCACTACAAAGAAGCCATAAATAGCTATTTTAAATCGATTTTGCCTCCTTCCATCGGTTTGACTAAAATGCCGATAAAATTAATGTTTTGTTTATTAAATACTGAAATTAGTGTATCTTGACAAACAAACATCGATGCATTCTGGAAGGTTTCATCATGAACAGGTATTTACAAAAATGCCTGCAATTACTTGTGCTAAGTCCGGGGCTGCGCATATATCCTCACGTGGGTTGGGTAGCAATTAAAGCATTGGGAGCTGAGGCCTACCCATTTCTGAAGAGATCTGGGTTTCAATTAGTCTCCGTTATTAGATAATTACCAACTGAAAACCAATGTTGTAATAACAAAATCCGTTCTCGTCATGTGTTGTCAAAGACCATACATTTGGTTTGACTGAAATCCATTAAAGTCAAAAGGAAATAAAAAAAACGATTACGAGTTACACATCTTACACGATGTTGAAATAACTGGTTAAAATGTGCAGGTGTCATTACTAGTTTACTGCTGAATCCGAAACTTTGAAGTTTACCAAAACTGTTCAAGTACTTTGCTTAAGACATCATTGCCAGTAATGTTGGACCATATTTCCTATCTTAGGTAAACAAAACAACTCAGACTACCGTGTTAGTAATTCACACCATTTGTTTTTGTCGTGAGCCGTCTTTGTCATGGATTGCTTTCAGATCAGCTACTTGCACTTAGAGATCACTATCTGCACCAACACATGCTAAAAATTCAATTGGAATTAGATTTTCTAAATGTTTACACGATTAAAGTGTCGCATAGCACCTCCCAAATGAAAAAAAAGATATTTAGTGGAGTGATAAAAAGTTTATTTAAGAGAGTATGTGTGTGAAGAATGTCAAAGCAAAATGAGAAAATTTTTCAGGTTCATAGGTGGAGAACATTGGCGTCGCCAAGCAGTATGTACAGTGAATGCATTAACGAGACAGTAGAAAAGGCACTTTGTCTCTTTCATCACTTAAGAGAGAGAGAGATCGCATTGGGTGCTAATTGAATCTGGCTGTGGTGGTGGTGGCTTCACAGGGGTTTAGAAAGACTGAATGGGCGGTTACGGTGACGACCCCACGACTCACCGAAACAAAGCCCATTGGCGGAGCACGCGTTGCAGGGTCAACAGAACGAAGACTGTCCAGCTACATCTGAAGTCGCTGGAGGAACTTGAGTCTCCACTTCTCAAACCTGAAAAAAATGAACTAGAGTTATTGAGCTACCAACGGTACTATTCCTCGGATTAAGCTGGTTGACGCTAGATGTTAAAGACCATAAGCTACGGGAATACCGAAACACAATTTAAGTTACTAAACCGGCCAGAAATTGTTCTAATAAACAGGAATTTTGACCTATGGTATGCTATGGGAAATTTCCAATTCCCACCTGTCACCACCACATGCCACATATCAATCAAATAATAACGGAATCAGCAGCTTAGCTCAGCGCGTGCGAATTCCCAGTCCCACTCGAGGTCGTCTTTGTGCTGCATGAAAAATGAGTAGCGTGGAACTGGCAAGACCCATTTGTCCAAATAATAATTCGTTCTGATCCTTTTATTTTGTAAAGAACAGCTCACTGACTCATGGCAAAACTTGTTTATAATGAAAACTGCATGCGTGCACCCCTTAGACAATGATTAACATGAACTTGGTTGATACAAAGTTTGCGGCATCAGTAACAGGACGCATTTGCTGCTCACAACCACGCAGGTCTGCATGTTACGGTGAAGGATTGGCTCTTCGAAGGACACCTTTCTGCATATCAACACGCACTTGGGTTTTGCTGTCTAACTGATTTTCGCAAAAAAACGTATTTGTACGTGGGAGAAATTAATGCATTCACTTTATAAGAATTATGTGTGTGTGATCTAAGGACGTCTACCAATCGTTTCAAGTTGCAGTGCTCATAACATTAATACATGGAGTACAGAGGACTTACTAGGAGTTGTGAAGAAGACGGCGTTCACTGGACTATCTCCATGGACGCCAATCGTTTGAACTTGAACTATATACAGCGTGTCTGGCTCCAAATTCCTCAATATCACATTATAAACTTTCTGAAAGAGCAAAACAACAGACTGTCTAAAGCTTTTGGACTTGTACATAACCGTCATAGAAGTGGTTTATGTTTGACTTATATGCATTTAAGGCTTGTTACAAGAAAATTGCAGTAATCTGCTGGCAAATTACTGCAAACCCCACAAATGTAACTCATTGTTTATGAACTTTGAAGTGGTTAAAACTTTATCCATGCACCATAAAATAAAGCAAGATTAGAAGCCACTAACCGAGTCAACAACTTTAGACTCTGCCCGCTCAGGATCTAGCTGGGGGGCAATTCCGTTGCTATACATCCCTGGTTCAATTGGCTCAACCAGGCGAGGTCCCCAAATCACTCTGTAGCCCCTTGATTGGAGACGAGCATCAATTGGAGACCGTGCCGCCATATCAGCATATTTGGTGTACCGCCCGGGGACTCTAGAAACTATCATCTCCGGATGGGGTTTCCAAAAGATAATGGCATCGAAACCGGGCTGCTGGCTTGAACCGGTCTTGAAGGAATTGTGGACGGAGAAAACAGGTTTCGTTTCCGATTGTGAGGAAGAGACTACACCACCTGACTTGATAGGATGCCGCTGAATTGTCTCGGTGGGGAATAATTGATAACCAACGTCGACCGGTTGATGTGGTATAAGGATATCTTAAGAAAACCGCCAAATGGCAAGAGTTGTCATTTGTGCATCAACAATTCTTGCTGAATAAGGAGCCTAAGTTGTGCGGCATGGGAAAGCGTCGACTGGGAGACCTATATTCCTTCAATCAATTCTACACTTTAAAACCGGAAAAATCAATGAGCTGTGGATTTATGGAACTTTCGGGATTATAAATTTTGGTAAAGAAATCTGATCAATCCTTCTTTCATCAAATTTTTGAAATTGCTAACAGCAGGCACAATCAGAATCAGCTTATCAATTGGTCTACGCCAGGTAGGATAATCCTCGACAAGATGTATCTTTCATTTCAGTTCTTTTAACATACCAAACTAATGGGTGAAAGAATTTAATCAAAAACATGCCAACTTTAAACGCAGATAGTATAACTGATTTACCCGCATAAGAACAATTCCTAGGACTCGGACCAGATTTAACAGCAACTTCCGTGCAAGAAGGCGTGCAGAAACACAGCTCGAGGGACTTTTTCGGCACCTTTGGTAGAGGTTCCTCAGCAATCCGAAGTTGCAATTTGTAATGACATTGAAATCTGAGGTCCTCTAAATTCATGCTGCTGAGAGTTGCCGTCTAAGGTAAGAGGAAAGAGGAGTTCTAAAGGAGTCAATTCCTTTTAGTCAGGTCAAGTAGCTTCACTACGATTTTTAGTGCATAAATTTTCCGAATACCGTCGACGAAGCTCCCAAGCGACAGAAAAATATCGGAACATCAATGCCCAACGCACTTCGCGTTTATTATGATAAATAATGCTGAAATAAAAATCTCATTAATGAATTTAAGGAATGGTTGTCGTCACCGAATATAAATGATGGCGAGTTAACATTTAGGTCTCCAACTTACATAGACAGTGACCATAGTAGGGGTACTGGGGAGACCCATTTTGGAATTTTGTGTTTCGATGCAGACGTGTGGATACCAAAGGAGGTGGAAGATAGTTGTATCTTTGACGCTCTCCCCAAAGTGCTGTGCCACTAGAATACAAAAATCGTTTATTCGCTTGTGTCCACTGTCAATCTTCGTATGTGTGCATAGGAATTGGCTGCGACCTAACAGCCGTCCGATTATTAAATATTCAACAAACAATCATTAAGGAACAAAAACACACGCTCGTTCATCGGTATAAAACAGGAATCAATTATAGGATGCTAACTGTAAACCCGTTGTCTAATTTACCTCCTTTAAATTTCGAGTACTTTAGCACAATGAAAAGAATTGATCTATTTTTTGTCGCATAAATTCTTGTGTAGAAGACCCCAATCGCATTAATAAGAATCTCGAACGGTAACACAATTGTCCTTACAGAAATGACGAGGTATTGTGAGGTGGGTTTTTAAATTGCCATCTTCAAAAAATGCTGGATGGATGAAATTTCGATTTTCGGGAGAATCACCACACTGACAACTTCTGCCTTCCGAATTGTAGAACTGTGGTTGAGCTAAAAATGACACAGTGTATTTAATAAAAAAAGCTCAAATAACATGAAGACAAAGAATAAGAATGAGGAAGAAAAAAACAAACGATCTGCAATACTATTCGCCTCAGCGCACATCTCGTGGTTTACGGAGTACATATATAACACAGAAGTCACCGGCTTAACTTCACTGGCTGAGCGCAACAAAATAGGTAACAAAAGAAGCAAGACAACGGATATAAAGGGAAGGCAAACTAAACTGCACAGCTCACCACCGTATGAGTGCCCTTTGGAAGGGAGCGGAATGGTCTTGATGAAGCGGGTTACCGGAAGGCTTGACCACTCCTTGCCGTCTACAACTGCCACCGCGGTGACCTGAACCTTATAGACAGTGCCGGGTTCCAGATCCTGCAGAGTGTACGTCAAAACTGTTTTGGGAACCTTGGCCTCGTACTCGCTCAAGGAGCTATCGTCCACTTGTGATAGGGTGTTTTTCTTCCAGCTCACCTGCACAGAGGAAGAAGTATGTGAACTTAATCATGTGAATGACAACCAATACGGAAATTACTTGGATGCATGTGTACTCCTTTCAACTAAAAACAGTGCAGGCGCGACCGTTGGAGGAAGAAATAAAGCTTGCTTCCCGTGTCAGTATCAGTTAGTCACACTTTATTGTAGATAAGACTATTAGTAAAGGCTGGAGGGTGGCACGTACGACGGCGCATCAAGAAGTGGAGTTGTTGATGAATAAATACGAGAGTCATTGTACGTGACTACAATTTGCCTCTGTCATTTCATTGGTCGAATGCAGCAGCGAAAAAAGTTTTCGCTTCTTTATTTTCGTAAAATAACATGCATAGTTAGTTAAAAGAATTTAAAGTTTGTAGGATCACCGCCAAACTCGACAGCATCCCACTGCTCTATTGAAACACTACAAATTCACTGAGTTCTATTTACTTCAGTAAACAATAACAATTGCTAGGACTGGAATCATTTTGGAAAATTATGCAAAATCTAAATATTTATAATCGTCCAGTAATATGCACTTATAAATCAACGCATTCAGTTTGGCGTTTTTAAGTAACTAAAGTGTCTTAGAGAAATGTCCTTAGGAAAACCGTTGCATCATAGCAGTGGAACATAAATGGAAAAGACACCTCAGTAAGTCAATGAAAAAAAAGTAGATTTTGCGCTGTGGCAACCCACTCGATAGAACCTTATTGGGACACTTCTGTAGATCGGTGATTCCCAGTGCAGTTTAACTTCGACCTTTTTGGAATATATCCGCGAATTTGTTTCAGTGAGGTTACGAGGAGCCTCAGGCAGGGTTACCACCCTGACAGGTCGACTGGGGCGGCCGTTACCCCCGAACCCCGCTCCAGAAGCCGCCTTCAAACGGAACTGATACCAAGTTCCAGGACTGAGGTCTGAGAGAACAGCGCCAACTTTTGTGGTCTACATAAAAAAGGAAAACAAAAACATAAACAAAACAGCTGCAGGTGTCTTTTGACTGAAGTGCTTTCACAATAACAAAATCAAGGGCTTCATGTGCTATACTGTCATAAAGAACAACTCGATATGTATATGAATTCAGAATAATAGTCTGGTGACGTAAATTATCGAGACAACGTAATTGAGAATCTCGGCAAAACTAGTAAGTTGGAAAAATTCTAAGTCGGCATTAGTTAGCTAACTAAAAATTAATAAACCTCAGTGGACCATGACATTAAAGCGGAGATTATGTAATCCGCACATCAGAGGAAAAGTTAAAAGAAGTCAATTTATGAGGTTTTGTAGCGCGTCACAAAACTCATTTCGCACATTGAAACGTAATCAAGCGTCAAAATGAGAGGGAAAATGTAGGAAAAGCAGCCGAAATTGTCCGATCACCGTCATCCCATTCCCTCAAGTAAACACGTGAACAGCTGGCTGGCTTAGGGGTCATCGCCTTTGACTTACATGACGCAAATGCTTTTGTACAATGGCAATGTTTGTACCTGAAGAGGATGATTCGATGGATATTACTTGCATAGGGTACAGATAAGCACTCCAAATAACAGTTGTTGTTGTACTTAGGATTTGTTAGTCTTACCCAAACTAGGCTGCGCCACTCGCTGAACAGCTCTTCTTGTAGTATTTCATCGCCTAATCCCCCATTTTCCCCAATCAAGGAACCGCTCAGATCGCGAAAAAGGCGAACTTGGACAAGGAAGACGGCAGAAGAATTCCATTCTGGTGAGTCGACCGACTTGCTCATGTTATAGTAATCGGGCCAGTCCAATTCCAGCTGATAGACCTCCTGCTCGCCCGGAATCATAGCAGTCTGGCGAACTGTGGGTCGACCGGGTACCGGGGGCACACCTAAAATAGATAAGGATTTCATATTTTCAAACATGAATTTAAGAAAGTCTGTGTAATGGCTAACCCGAAGTGGAATTTCCTGGGAAAATCATTACGACAAAGGTTAGGATGATATATTGCAGGGGCATATCAACTAAAGCAAAACGTTTTAGTAAAAATGACAGCAATTCCCCAGATAAGGTCAACTTTTAGATGTAAATTATCCTTCATGGAAATACTATCGTATCGCATTTTTTGGCTAATGCTGTTTTCAAACGGGTTTGTTTGAATTTGGGTCAGTTGTTCATTTGTGAATTTCGGCTGCACAATTCTGTTTGGTGGAACGCATTGTTAAATTTACTAATGATCTGCAAAAGCAATTTCAGTAAATCCGTATTAAACTATCTAAATGCCGTAGGTTAAAGCCCCTAGATTTTACAAAAATTAACTCTTGAGAGATGGAGGGAACTAGAACGGGTAATTCCTACACTCTGAACAACCGGGGTGCCAAAGACCAGAAAACATTCTGACACGGATATCTTCAAAAAACGAGAATTCTGTGCACTTGTCGATTGGTCCGCCCTCCCGCTTATAAAAACGCATGCGCAAAGAGAAAGCTTCTGATGAAACTTCCTCCGTAGCTCAGGTCACTTTGGCTAAATTGGCAATTTTTAAGGTGAGGAAAGCCTAAAATGTGCAGTTCTATTCGAATATAATGAGTCACCAGGAAAAATAAGGATAAAATTCTTTGTTCGAGCAGAAGTAGCACAATTAAAGAGCATGAAACATCATGCATTTGAATGCCCGAGCTCAGTGTCTCTCAAGATTCATAGGTTAGGCAAACATTGGGCTCAAAGTCATAACAGTGTCTTGGACTGCTTAGGCTCAATAAAAGAAAGTTGCCCAATCAGGAGAACTGATGGAAAAGGGCCTTAAAATTTCCTCAAGCTGAACAAAAGTAGCAGACGGAATGACAGACGGTTGCTATTGCCAAAGTTGAACTTATCAACAACGTTTAGGATGTCGCAATTGCGCTAAAGATAGCATATCAATGTTACAAATGCGTCTAAGTCAATAACTGATTCCAAAATACTTCAAAATTCACCGTAATATATAGGGGTATAAATAAAGATTAATGAATTTGGCTTTGCACAATGACCTAGCTTTCATTAACCCAACTGCCATACTTTCCCCAAGTTATTTAAAAGACGTGGTCCCCAGTTAGTAAGTACAAAACAACTGAACGTAGAAATTTTATAATTGGGTAAAAAGCAATAAAACCCATATATCACAAGGTTTTTCAGCTAATGCAATCAAAATAGGTCGTCTTCTATGCACTTTCAATTGATGTCTTGCGGCAATTTCACTATTATTGGTCAGGAGCTTCCAAAATCTCAAGCTGAATATATCATTATTATGTCGTGATTTTTAAGCAATTTACAAGATATTGTGATAATTAATAAGTTCCCTGAGCTGTAATTTAGCACCATAGTGCTTGCTTGCCACCGTCAAACCATGATTGAGGAAGGTCTAAGTGAATTCGAGTAGTTGTTCAAACGGAGGTCGCGATAATCTCAAGGGTTTTAAAATCTGTAACAGATGAACTAGACATTCCAATTTAACTCAATATGGTTTCTGAGCTAAAAAACCTTGGCAATAATATGTGTTGGTGTTATCACAATGCATTCAATAGTTAGTGCTCACCTCTGTACGCAAAGACAGTGTCGTTAGTGACTTGCATGCAGAAGCCCAGCGGGGGCGTCTGCCGACTGAGAGCTGGCGGACGACCCTCTCGAGCGAGCCGATACAGCGTTGACGACGAGTGGTGTTCTCGAATGCCCAGACTCCCGTCTGCGTGACAGGCGTCGGCTCGACAGCACTTGGCAATGACGGTGTGACTGCAGTCCGCGTCGGTAGTGCAGCGCCGATGGTGTTGACAGCCGGAGCCCTCAGGCCAACTGGAGGGCAATGGACAAGACGCGGACAAAATTCCGCTCACTACAGAGGCCCGTTCAATGTAACTGGCATAGGAAAAAGTACAGGCGTCCAGGCAAGTTTGACGATGAATCTCGATTGGACTGTTTGGAAAGGCTTTGAATACACTTTCCTGTAAAATTAAATAGAAGTAAAGCTGCAAATGTATTTTATGCATGACAATTCGACGTGTAAAACATTTGAAGAAAATGATCTGTCCATATTCCCTCTTACCGCCAGGGCGCTACCATCGTTCAAAGTAACAAAAAAGTCGTGACTAACTTACAGGCAAATACTGATCCTGCCAAATACCACGCGGAACGAATTTCGAGAATGGCGCTCTCATTCGATATTTTAATTGCCTCTGCCTCCACTTTGCAATCTGCATTGTTATTAATTGATTAGGATCGTCCCCAAGGAGTCACATGAGTGTCATTCCCTAAAGGCCCACCCATGGCAAGACTAATGAACCCTTGATGCATTTGTGGAGGTCCAATTCCGCAAATGAAACTACGTATGAGCATTCGAGATGTGTTGCCCTTATTAATGAAAGGATAGCAAATAGCGTACGTAAAAGAACGTGTGAAAGTTCACAAGACTGCAATTTTTCGTTACTAAGCTCTCTACTTAGATTCGTTGATTTATGGTTGTAAAGTGGATCTTTTATAAACACAGACGAAACAAATACGATGGAGATCTAATTTCAATGTTGAACTGTCACTTATATCAAGCATGAAATACGCAACTCACTCCAAGAGCGCCACATGACGATTCGCAAGTTGTGGTTTTCTGACGGGACCACCGGCACACGTCAAGGCACTGAAAAAGTAAGTGTACATATTTAAGAAAATGGAAAATTCTCGCCTAGCCTTGCATACTTAGATGTACGAACATGGTCTGCAGTTGAATCATCAACTTTAAAGCAAGCATGCATCTGTGTGCTTGGGTGCATGTGGCTCCATCCCTAAGTGCGCGACTTGGCAGGGCCCATTAGCCATCAGACCCAGTTTGGGGCCTTTATTTGGACAACCTCAATTCTGTGTCAAGCATAAAATACCAACCATTTTTGTTATTTCTCCAGTGTAGCGTTGGTCAGATATTCAGCGTACACAGGTCAACCTCTCTGTTATAGAATGGAATTCTAAGGGCAATTCAAACTTACGAGGCTGCAGTTGGAACGTTTACTTAGACAATGGGGCTCGGCGAGTTCAGGACGTTGGCTAAGGAAGTTGCGTTCGTGTTCGTCCAACTGAAAATAAGAGCATGACTGATTTAATCTTCTTGACGAAATGGATGCATTAAAAAAAATATCCGATTTCAAACCATGGTATTATGTTAAGGTTTACTAGATGCCGATTTTACACTCAAATGATAACCGAAATAAATAGATGTTCAAAAAAGCAGATGCACTGAGGAGCCAAAGTTAGGCTAAAAACGTGACGTCTGGTGTTAATAAAGTGAGGATCTACACCCTCTTGTTGGCCAATTATGGACCCTCTCCTTCTATACGTCTTTCCATTTAGGGTTATTTTAGATTTCACCTAATGACATCAATAATATTGTTAGACAGAAGTGCTCTTAATCGCACCAGACATATGGTAAGAAAAATTTCTGTGCTGCGTCAATGCACTTCGACAGGGATCTCACAGACCTACGCCGCTGTACGGATACTCCTCTTATTCAGCAGAAATTAGTTGCTCGAGAGGACAGGTTGGTATGGTGATTAACTAGGCCTAAACAATCCTGAATTTCACATGCACATGGCTCAAATTGTGGACTTCGTGGATTGTCCGAAAATTCAATCAAGGTTCGCTCACACCAATGGTAGTAAGGTTTTGTTATTTCGCGAATTTAGTGCGCCGTAAAAAAAACGGAAGCTAGCTATCAGAGAGATGATGTGGACCTCTGACACCAATGCATTCCCATTTAGCAGTCCATGCCAGTTCGTGAACGCCGACTCATTCAAGGAACTGGTTCTGCATGCAGCGCCATAGTTTCACGACCTATTCCTATGCTTTTGGTTTGAAGAGTTGAAGAGCTCATTGTAGCAAAAAATTACTTAGATGCGAAATTCCTCAAACTTCAAAACAAAGGAGAGAATTTACTGGTGACCACGGGGATTTTACCTAAATGGGAATGCGATTTACGTTAATAAAGTACTGGTTAAACCCGCTTGTGCAACCATGGCGTCGAATAGACTGTGTACCAAATCCAAAAACAGGCTGTTCGCGGTATTTTTAATGGAAACTTAAGTTAAATAGTCTATATACATCATATTTAATTCAAAAAAATGGCTTTTGTCTGAATCTGTTACAGCTAGGTGTCAAGTTTTAAAAGTTTTGTGAGTATGAGCAGAATGTGAATGATTCGGTGCTGTCCTAAATTATAGTAATATAAAATATGATTGCACGATAAGATTCCAACGTGGTGGTAGCACCAACAATTACATCTTATCCCATTTATCGTTACAGTTATATCGTTGTATGACGGTCTGAAAATTTGACATTGGCTTGATGCATTTTACACATTCACTCATTATAACACATGCTATAAATCAAGAAATTATTTGATAAATGGCACCGTCCTCGTGTCAACTCCCCTTACTTCGATACTCTTGAAATCACCCACAAAATATGCCAACTCAAATAAGCGCCCTTCTTATATAGTTATAACTGCTTTACTATAGCTCAACATTTCGTCTAAAATGAGAGAGGCTAGTCCATACATAACTGTTAGTCTATGAATGCAGGACTTGCAATCATAGTATGTATAACTCACGGAATGAACTCCTAAATATAATAATGTGAGGACCGGATGAAATAAGCCAAAATGCCCAACCATAAGCTATCGTCGAAGGTAAATAGGTAAGCATTATTACTGAGAAACAGAAAAAGACCGATTGGGATAAACAGACTGCGCGCCTCTTGTTAAAATATCGGACTGAGAAACGCCCTATTTTCACTTTGTTACAAGCGTGCGCCATGACTTTGAAACTATGCCACCTTGTAAATCAACCATCCGTGTGCCCTTACAAAACTAGAAAAAAATTATTATTATTATAGGACTATTTCAAACTATAATTTAATTTAAATTCACCTCATTTCTCATGTTTTCTAAATTTCTAATCACCGACTTTGCTAATTAATCACAATCCCTAACCTGAATAGGCATCATTAAGTATATACAGTCAGATGGGCACTTTAGTCATTCCAGCAATTAAAAAACCATTCGCTTACAGAATTAATTCAAGTTGGAATGTTCATTTCAACTCTAACGATCAAAATCAACCATTGAATTCGTTTTCAGCATCTAATCTGTCTCAATTAGTTATAGATGCATTAAATTATGCCCAACACTGACGCCAATAAGGGGTTAATCAATTGTGAGGACGCATCGAGAGCATGTTCGTACCTGAAGGCACGTGCTGAAATCATAAAAAGCCAATAAAAACGTGTTATCATCGGGTTGCCGATCTTCGAACGGTGTGGGAATTGGAAAGTGTCACGCAATTTTGCCGCTTTGGAAAAACGTTTTTTTTCTATTTTTTTCCACAGACCCATTGATGGGTGCTAATACACAAACGCAATGTTAATCTTATCCAGCAAACTTATCTTAGGTGACAGCAAGCAGTGTAAGATGTGACATTGTTATATTCTTCAGCTGCTTAACTCATTTGCGGAGCAAGTGAAGCGTTCAAGCGATTACCGACGTTCACTAACCAAACACCAAACTGGACTAGGTGTGAAGTTGGAAAGAAGCGGGTCCCGTCACCGTCACCTGATGGCAACTCGAAGTTAACTAATAACATTTAATTCGATAGGAACTGTGACACCAAAATCATAAACCCACGTGCACCATCAACGAACGCACACTTCTAATGTTAAAGCTAAGCCATTTTCTGGTGCATTGTATTGGAAAATGTCATTTGCCTTTAAATGACTGTAAGGAAGGAAAGAGCATAAAGATTTCACCGAAAAAGCTTTTTCTACCGAACAAGATTACAGTGCTACAAGAAGAAAGTGGCAAATTGATACAGGTGTTTACCATGTGTAAATTGTGTTCAAAAAGCACCACTACAAGTCTAAGTAAACTATTAATGAGGAAACCACGACAGCTCAATAAAAAAAAGATGCAATGTATTGGATTATAAGCAATGGTAGAAAAGTGACCGATGAGTGGTTGGTTAACGCGAGCCAGTTCAATAAAGGTAAAATTAATTGCAACATTTATGACCTCACGATTATGCCCTAATAGCCTTATGGTTTGACAAAGGTAAGGTAGGGAACAGCTTATAAAACGGTTGAATGATAAAGTGCTAACGATGATTTATTAAGTTGCGGAAAATTCTTCAAAATCTTTTTTACACCCTGTTCGTCAAATACATTTGAGGAATGCCAAAACTGCTCATTTCTTTCAATTACATCGCTAATTTGAAACATTATCGGAACCGAGGCAATGACTGTGCTCACCTCTATGATGTGAGATTATCTGAGTAGTAACGACGCAAGCTTGCAAGCACAAACAAAAATTGCTCAATTCAGGCCAATGCGCAATTACCTCGTGAGTCCAAACAGTTAAAGAGCAGTTGCGTATGTCGCATTAACCTCTCGGCACCTAGTTTTAGTGAAAGAGCTTACGTATTCAGAAATGACAAAAGCAATTATTGTTATTATACTGAGTCCTCACAGTTGAGCACTTTGGAGTTCGAATACGCGACCCCTCATACGGCCATAAAACCGTCATCTGAATGCGAAAATTGATTTGCTCATGAGAGCATTCACATTCATGCAAAAGTTTTACTGAAACAGCTACTTAATTACAGGTAAAGTGCGAGAAAGGTTGTCAACTATTTTGTTTGATGTGTCACGAACTGCCTCCATGATGATAATAAACCAGCGTTAGGTCTATTGTGTAAATCAATAATGCTATCGCATTTGTTGCGCTAAAATTTTATGTTTTGCAGTTCATTAACTTGACAATATATTCACAAATATAAGAAGATTTGATGACACACGCGTCACGTAGCACAGTAAGGTTGAATTATTTTTATTTAAACTTTGCAACAGCTATTTTTTGTTCAGGTAACTAACGAAATTAATTTATTAATGCCAAAATGAGGTAGATCAGTGGAAGAGAAAAAATTTTGCCCTAATGCGCACTGCTATCCACTCACAATGCCCAGTCGAAAGTGGGGAGGTAATTTCGCCTCGCTGACACCCTACATGACGCGCAGTCAAGTGACATTTATCTGCGCATGATGGCATTTGCTGGTTTGCAGTCGCTGATGCATTTTGCGTGGCCTTTGAAGCCATGCGCATACTCATGCTTCTTAAACAATGACGCTCTGCCACCCAACTTCCCCACGGTCATAAAAAAGGTTGGGGTTGAAGCTACTTGAAACAGATTGTCGTGGGAAAATGGGGCCTTCGAGTTAGTGGAAAAACCGCAATGCAGCTTGGCAGTTAGACGTCAAAATGGGAAAGATTTCTATTCAAATCAGCGTAATTCTCTAGTGAAGATACGCTGAGACAGATTTGATGTTTCTGAAATAGTCTGGATCGTAAATGTTAACGAAAATCTGATCGACACACTAGTTAAGACCTTCGATACACAGTACTCTCAGAACAACTAGGTCATAGGGCATACGTGGCTAGGTTCCCGTAATAATACCTTTATGAAGTTTCTACTTGAAATCACCAGTTCTTGATCCTGGGAGAGCTAAGTCTCAAGGGTGTTGGTCCAAACGTGTTGAAAGACAATGCGGAAGTTGGTGATAGAGGAAAGTGTTTATTAGTTATTAAAAACCTTGGCAATAAACTTTGGAATAACCATTAGCCTCTTGAGTATTAATCGGTTACTAGAATAAACATATTTTACAGATTACGACATTTTTGCTCAATTCAGACCTTGTCAATTAATTAACAAACTTCCATGCAAGTGATCTAACTTGCGAGGTCAATAGGTGGCATGGTTTTCCGTCGAGCATCACGTCGGAGTAATTAAGTGAAAAAGGTTTACGCTTTATCAAGAACTAATATTGAGGCAAAACGAGCTGACATCTTGACACATTGTCCTAAAATACTCTATCCACGTCAGAGACAAAAACAGGCTGATAAATTTCAATGGTCCAAGTGCCGGACACTAAAGGTATTCACTCGTGGGTCGATGCAAAACCATTCTTATCCGTTCAGAAACCCATAAATAGTCTAACTACATGGAAAATTGAACGAAAAACCAGTTCTCATAAGA